AATACATCTCCCCCTCTCATTCTACCTATCTCTCTCCCTCTCTCTTTTACTCACTCTCCTCTATCTCTCCTTCTCTTTCTCTCTTTTTTAATATATCTCTCTCCCTCTCTTTCTACGTATCTCTCTCTCCCTACCTCTCTTACTCACTCTCCTCTTTCTCTCCTTCTCTTTCTCTCTTTTTTAATATATCTCTCTCCCTCTCTTTCTACCTATCTCTCTCTCCCTACCTCTCTTACTCACTCTCCTTTTTCTCTCACTCCTTCTCTTTCTCTCTCCCCTTCTCTCTCCCTCTCTTTCGCTCACCCACTCTTTCTCTCTCACTCTTTCCCTCTATCATGTTCTCTCACTTGTTCTCTCTCTTCCTATATCTTCTCTCTCTTTCTCTCACCCTCTCCCTCTTTCCCCCTCTTCCCCTCTTTTTCTCTCACCCTCCCACTCTTTCCTCATCTTCCCTTCTCTTTCTTTCGCTCCCTCTCTTCCCCTCACTTTCTCTCTTTCACTCTCTTTCTCTCACTTTCTTTCCCTCTCCCTCTTTCTCTCTTTCTTGTTCTCTCTTTATATATATTTCTCCCTCTCTTTCTCTCACCCTCTTTCTCTCTCTTCTCTCTCTCTCCCTCTCTTTCTCTATTCCCATCTCTTAAATTTTTCACCGACTCAGATGGTTCACGGCATTTTCTGATGTCACTGTACTACTTGTGACCGGGGCTCCCAGTGTTCGAGCCCCGACAGTCACAGGAATTGCCATACTAGCTACATAGCTGCGTCTACTTCAGCCGCTCACTGGACGAGCATTCTCGTGGCGGGCTCTCCTGATCGGTAGTTTTCCATGGTTTCGCTGACCAATATCAGGCGAGTGCTGGAGCAGTACCAAATCAAACGGGCCACGGACCGCGTGCTTATTGTTCCTTATCCTAACCTCCCCCTTACATACGCACGCATACACTTACATGGATTATGTGACTACACATGTCGCGAATCAAGTCGAAAGCTAAGTGCTTGTCCCGGCTTCGGTGCCTCGCTGATAAAAGATACTTGGTAAATCAGCGGCGGCGATCGCGTAACGGTTAGTGTATCGCACTGTTACCCCCAAGTTGGTGGGTTCAAACCCAATCGAAGCCGAGGATTTGTAGGGCGAAAAAAACGAAGTAAAGCCGGTTGTCCTATGTTAGTATATTTACTTGAATATAAAAGTTCAAGCCTAAATGACGTCTCTGAGCTAAAATGTTTCGTCGCAAACGAAATACCTCCTTTCTTTGCTAGTGGGTGAAAGGAGGGTACCGAAATTTGCGTGGTCAGACGAAACAGCAGACCTAATGGTCTCGCCACGTAAAATAAGGCATCCAATCAATTCAAAATCCCGCAAGGCGACGTGTATATCGACACCGGATTTCGCCCCTTGACATAATTCTTGCGCACCCCACATACCAAGATAAAACATTCACTGCATGAACGTTAAGGTCAACGGCTAAGGCCATTAATCCCGTAACTGTAGGGCATATCTTTATCGCGGGAGCTGGCTGTTATCTTCATTGGGTGGCGAGATCGGCGCCGACCTATCTCTGCTTAAGGGCATTTTTCCCAACCAGGCACATCTGTGCCGCCTCAGCTTTTACATTTAGGTTTTGTTAGATTGGCAGCACAAAAACTGTGGTGTTGTGATGGGTGCGTGTTTTTAGTGTTAACAAGTAGTGAAGTTATGTCAGGAAAATAGTCTGTTGAAGATATCGTATAAGGGGACCCAAAATGAGTTTTCGATTCAAAATTTCGATTTTCCTTGGGTTTTTTGAATTTTTATACTTTTCTGTTTGTAATGTTTTTTTATTCGCGTCAATACCTTGACTGTAAGTATTTTAAATTAATTTTTTTTACTGTGCTACAGATATATTCGTCAGCCAGCCGTTTTTGGAGATGATAAATACAGTAAATTTGCTAAAGGTAGTGAACATTTTGAACTTATTAACATATCAATTTTATCTGTATTTTGTCACATAATGTATTATGCAAGAATTGTTCAACATCTTGAAGATACTTTTACAATTTATTAAGATCATTGTAAACTATGGTGATCTATTTTGATGTCTAAATTTGAAGTCAGTTTCCCTAAGTATTTTAATATGTAAGGAACATTTTATCAGCTTTTAATTATGATGGGAAACTGAAATTGACAGGATTTATTTATTCAAATAGCATACATAAGCTGAATAAAAAGTTTTAAATTGAGTTAATATTTGGACATTTTATTCAACTTGTTGTTTACGAGGAATTAAACATATACAAAAATCAAATATTATATTTCAAAAACTATTTTTCAGGGTTTACTGAATATCCATATCTTCCTCAAATAAAAATTTTAACTCCTTAGGTTAAGCAGTTTCTGAGAAAAAATTCCTTAAACATCACTCGTAGTTGGACAGGGCATTCCCTTAAATGTTGAAACCCAAAGATCTGCTTAACTTCAAAAATTGAAAGGCAACAAATGCAGACATTATTTTCATCTGCTTCAAAAAGTATAAGATATTGTTGTCTTCATATTTTCTAGAACAATTTTCAGAAATGAATAATGCATAATTAACTAACATAACACGTAAATGTGATATAATTTTCCAAGTAACTGGTTAAGTTACTGTTAAATCATATTAGCAATCATACTATAACTACATTTTGAAAACAAAATTTTCTGCAGAATAGTATTCATATTTAAGACACGATTATGACAAATTTTAAAAGGCTGCTTTCAGAAAAATAGGTAATGATTACAGATATTAATTTCATTTATTGTGAGTGAATGTTAATAAATATTGCCCCGCTATTACAATAGTTGTCTAAACACACTACATGAGCGTAATGTCAAGTTATTCGATAGTGACGTCATGCGTAGAATCCACTGCGCATCCACACACCTCATACTCTAGATATCTTGGGAGAAAACGAGGAAAACTACCGATCTGAGCAGCCGGCCGCTTGAATTCTCGTGCAGATAGCGGTTGAATTCAACCTAGCTATATAGCTAGTGTCGAAATTTTTTTGACACCGTCGGGACACAAACCACGAGGTCGGAAGCACTGCAGGGACATCACTTGGTGCCTTTAGCCACATTTGCCGGTTTATGTGTATTTATATTCCTATCTGTATCTAACCTGTAATTCTGAGCTGATTCTGTGTAAATTTACACAACGCTAAAGCATAATCATGTGCATATTCTCAATTGTCATCATAGCTCGAAGTAAGATTTTATCACAGTGGAATCTGCCGAAGCGGCCACATCCATTAAGCGGACACGACTATTAACAGTAGTAGTTTTTGCAATTATTTTATAATGTTAAGCTTCATTAACGAGTACACGTTTTGAAAACGAACGACTTGAGAAGAGAGTTTTCAAATTTTTACGTGTGCAATAAAGCAACATTATAAACGGGTTTTTAAACGCTATATTTTAGTCCGAGTATAAAAGCATTTTAAATTTATAAGAATCAAACTTAATTTTGCTGAACAAACATGTTTTGAAGTAGAACGACGTGAGGAGCGAGTTTTCAAATTTGAATTAATACAATAAAGCAACATTATAAACGAGTTGGATACTTTATTTTTTGGTATAACAGCATTATAAAGTTTTAACACATCAAACTTTATATTGCGAAACAAATTTCTTGTGACTTCTTGGGTATTTGGCATCAGTGCAAGAAAATTGGTCAGCTGTTCCGTTTACCTCTAACACCACCGATTCTCTCATTCTGCAATTAGCTGAATGTGTGATGGCGAAATCATTCGTGCAGTAAAATCTAAAACGTCATCATTTGTGCCGTAAAATGCAATTGTGAACGCTTTCTTAATTTATTTGCTACAGAAAAGGTCGTTTTCAATGCTGGAATACAAAAAATAAACATTTTTTCGGTCCCGGTTTGCTTTTCCATGAACCAAGAATTTTAGCTTTCATATGGTCATCTCATTTTCACTGTAAGCAGCCATGCACATTTCGTACATCTGAAATACAATTCCGTGACAATATTGCGATTTCGATCCACAGCCCTACACGAAGCGGTAGAGCAATGGCGATTACCGTTGATTCCTGGTTTTCCTGCGACAGGACGCACTGCCAAGTTTTAAGTACGCAGAACAAACAGATTCTTAAAGTAAAGAATCTCTAATTCACGGGGGGATTATATTCAGTGTTTGATAATTGTAGATTATTTTCACGCATGGTCTGAAGCTCCTATATGGTGTCAAATTCAGTGTCCAGTCTAGTTAGTATTCAAGTCAATTAATTGGAAGAAACAAACTGCGCCATAATAAGAAAATACCAAATCGGGCATTTCAATTGTTTTGGTACAATTTGTCCCAGTTCGCGCGTGTGAAAACACTCCCGACATTTAACAGCTCAGTTAAGCTAAACAGAAATATAACTTGCATCTATCATCATTACAATCTTCCTTTCCCATATATTTTTTGTTATTTGGCTTAATTAAGGAGAGCAAAACATTTTCTTGTTTTCCAAGTTATCGTTTCAGTCATCGTGTTGTGTAGCATTTTATCGTCATAATGAAAGTCTCTATAGTAAAAATATAATTTAGTGTTGAATTACAGGATACAGGTACTTAAAATATTTGGGCACATATCCTCTTCCCTCTCCCTCTCTCCCTCCCCCTCCATCAGAGACTTGAGTATTACACAAGTTTTTGATTAAAATTTTACGTAACGTAGTTGTTATTGAGTAAATAAATTAAACAAAGAAATGGCAAACCAGTATATGCTAGTTTGTTTCTTTACGAGTTATATTTCGGTATCACAATCTTTCAATTTTCAATTAGTAACTTTAAATATTCATTTATAAATGTCAAGTGTCCTTTTTAATTTAGATAAGTGAGCACTTTACTAATTAAAATGATGCCAGGCAGGACTTAAAAGCACTCAATTTGGAATAACTTGTGATAAATTGTGGTTGTAAACTTTCTTAGAAGATTTTCAATAATTGTTTGACTTATTTAAATGATAATTTTAAAATAATCGGTATCCTAATTTTTGTATTTGTGAAAAATATAATGGTGCTAGAAACAAACAAACAAGCATGCTTATCCTCAAGCTAATGTTTATTAGATTTGTTCAACGATCCATCAGAAATGACATGTTAATTATGGTCTAGTTAATAATACAGATAATGTTCAATAACACATTTTCTAAAACCTTCTTTTCTTCAGTGTTCTCATACATACAGTTGGTAATAATAGTTACTCTAGCAATAAATTAATATGAATGAACAGCACGGGCACCTTGTTTAATTTAAAATTCGCACTCTTACATCTGTTGATTTCTCTGAGAACTTCTAGCCGCATCTTCCTCACAAGATCCACAAAATGCACCACAGGAAACCATCTTAGGAGGCGGCCACTGCTAGTCCCAGAGGATCGTCATCTGTGAAGCAGTAAACGTAAGTTTTACCTTGCTGACCAAAGAACTTACCGAAGTCAGGTTTACAGAGCTTGGTTAGGTGGAGAAAAACCTTTTCACTACGTAGTTGTGTGCGAATGTTTCGGAAAATATATTTTCATCATCAGTACTATAGAAGATAAGCGAAAAAACAAGAAAAATCACAAGGCCACAAAAACGCGTGTTAGATAACTAAAAATATTCTATCGTGATAAATTTAAGGTGTTATAAATTCAGAAGGAATTAATACAATAACAAACAAACAGTTCATGTTAATGTTCTTTAAGATAGGACACCTCACAGAATATGAGAAACATAAGCACACACTCACCATACCAACACAATTATGATTGGATTCTCCATACATAACACACCACCGAAGAATTTTACATATAAACACCATACTTTTAAATAAAAAGCTCCAAGCGTTAGTCACTACCCTGACCGAGAATCTAACCGGGGTGTCCTGGCTTTTCCCACAGCTGCTTAAACTACTCAATGAACAATGCTTTGAACAGAAGAATGTCAACTCCGCCCCTTTTATGGCTCTAAACGTGTCCATGTGATGACAGTACAATATTGTTTAGAACGTTTATAGTATTGCATAATTCAGCAACAGGGACTTTTGCAAATTAACCAACTTTTTCTCGAAAGTTCAAGGAGTAAAGCTGACCATTATCGAATCACTTTACAAGTAAATGGTTTATTAAAGAATAAAGGAAAGCAAAGTTGAGACAAATGACAGACATTTTCCAATCACTGAAAGTAGTTTCGAGGAAGACAAAAGGAAGTAATTCACTATCATAATGATTTAAGTTTTCTCAAGCATTGCACAGCATATTGGTAAAAGTCATGAAAAGCATACGATTGTACCTCCTTGGTACTTTAAGTTCGAAGTGTATTGTAATTTATTTTACACCATAGATTTTACTTCTTAACTTAGCGAAAAATATTATATCTCTATTTTCATTTTCATCTGTTAAGCTATTTTATTTCTACTTTCCACAATTAAGTAAGAACATTAGGAGGAAATGTAGGAGAGAGAATCTACTCCAAGAAGATAAATACGTGGAGTGAAATACAAACTAATGCCATCGTTGAGATATATTCCCAAGGTACCAAGTTAATACTATCACCCGAAAGAACTTACCCTGGAGCTTATTTCAGTTAAATAATTAATAACTAAATGAGAGGAAAATTGAAACAAAAAGAAATAATAATGTGAAAGTTTGACAATTCTAATTCTTTTCAACATTCTCCACTGTAAAAATTATAAACATTAAAGACAGATTAGGAAGAATAAAAATGGGGGCGATTATAAGATTAGTACGAAAAATATTAGCAATAAAAAGAGGTATAGATAACGAAGATAGATTATCAGGTGTGGTCTTCAACATACCTTCATCCTTGCCCCTGCACTTCAAATAGCGCTCCAAGTACTTTTGGCCTGCGGCGGTGCGGTTGAGGGGCAGATGGCAGCTGTAGCCTCCGTTGTGGTGTGACATTGCGAAGTCGTCGCAGTTCACTCGGCCATCACCGTTGCAGTCCTAGGAACAAAAGTGTGATGGGTTACAACGGAGGAAAGGCAACTAGTGGGGTCTAACAGGCCCGAGATAAGGCTTTTTTTAAAATTAAATATGGATTCTGAAAATTGGACAACATTGTTGTCATTTAAGCTTTGTTTCAAACGTAGAAAACCATTTAGCTAATGTGTGCTGTGTCGATCATTCATTTGGACCACCACATTTCATTATAATTATATTTAATTCGCGACATGCTTAGAATTACCTCTTTCTAAAATTAGTAGTAGATATATGTACTGCTGAGAAGTAGAGATGAACGTGCAAAAAATGCCTCGATGTTTCAAAACTACTACTACTTTTTCCCCAAACCAGGTTTCTCCCACCAGAGAAGCACCGCCCTAGCCGGGACAAGATCTAAGCTCCCGACCAGTCTCCCGATATGTGTGGTAGTGTAGAGCACGCTAGTATAAGTGCGTGTAAGGGTGAGTTAGAGAAGATGATAGGACAAGGAAGAGGAAGGAAATATCGTGCGCGGTCCGTGTCCCGCTTGTTGAAGTACCGATCGATCATTCACTTGGTGTTGATCGGAGAAACCACGGAAAACTACCGACCGGGCCAACCGGCCGCTAGAATTATACTTCAGACAGCGACTGAAATCGACCTAGCTGACGAGATAATGTCGAAAATCCTGCCATCGTCGGGCCTCGAACCTAGGACGTCTTTTTAGATTTTTCTCGGAAGCAAAGGTTTGGCAAGCACACGGCGGCTACCAACGCCAACTCTAATTAGAGGATATTTCGCTTGACTAGGTCAGGGGGATCTAACTTCCAAAGCCTCAAATGCTAAAACTAAAACCTTTAATATGGTTACGGGCCATGTTTTCATCACTCGGGAGGTCCACACCCTTACTTCCCCGTAATGTTGATCTCTGCATTTTGGCCGGCCCGGCTGCTCTGAAACTGAGGGTGGGTGATGAAACAATGCGTAATATCAGACCGTACCATGCATAACAGTGAATCAAATTGTGATCTTTAATTTCTGAATTTACTAGAAAAAAATTCTTTGAATCTAAACTTCACCTATTGTCCAGGCGGCGAAATAGTCGAAGAAAAGTTGGGAGAGCATTTTGATGGAAATGGCAACGGAACATCGCCTTTCTATCTCAGTAGTTTTTGTCAGACAAGAGTGTTCTGGAAAAGAGATGACACACAATTGACAAGAATTGTTACTTGGAGAAAGAATTAACGAGTATTGAAGAAGTTGTCACAGTTACCTCTGTCCAAACGAAATTAAACCTTTCCTTACGAATTCCCTGGCTTTTTGCTTCGTGTTTCTATTACATCCAATGCCTGGCACACTCTGGATCTAACCTTGAAGACGTTCAAACTCTTTTACTCAGCTTTCCGCATTAGCTTGTGGTGCCAAGGCAAGCACGCGTCTGTGATAGAAAACTCCTAGTATTTCGACAATGCCAATTTACGCGGGAGTGGCCCCTAGGAGCTGGTGCGATCTTTCGGTGACGCTCCGAACTAATAGAAAGAAGTTGACAATCGACTTCAAGAAACTTTGCAGGAAGAAATGAATGTTTGATCAACAGAAGAAATTCGCGCGGCTTTTTGGGGAAAATTAAGACTAGCTCGAAGGCGCCAAGTTTAAAATGTATAATCCTTTCCTCTGAAACGCCTTCAAATAACATCGAACGCTTTGTTTAAAAAAAAAAACAGGCGCCAAACTTTAAGTACTTTGGCCGTCAAAGTGTCAACAACTATTTTTACCTTAGGAGAGTAGTGACCACAGCATGGCGCGTGCGCTGGGGGCACAATATTCTAACCGAGCATAGCTGCCCGGGCTTTCACTCTGCTTTGCACCCAGCTGGTGGGATTTATTTGGTTCTGGAAAACCTCGCAAGCGCAAGTAGATCTGCGCCGGATTTTTACTGCCAGCAAGAGATTACAGTCACCTCCCGCGATAAAAAACAAACATGTACTACTCATTTGGAACTAATGATCTTAGCAGTTGACGCGCCTGGAATCACTAAACAATCAATCAATCCTTATATTAACATTTTACATTAGCGATGTCTTGCTGCGGCATATTCGCTGTGCCATTCAAATTGTATGATTTTTTTTGTAATTAACCGTTTACCTGATCAATATGATTCTTTGTCGTGGCAATACCACAGAATAGATACTACATAGAAAGGAAAGTAGAGGGCGGCACCATTGAAGTGAGCCACCACGCGGGGCGGACCGCCATCTTGAAACTATGTAAAGTAACTGCAGGCGTCACTCCAAACGCCATTTTCTCGTATCAAGCAGTGCGATGGGTGTAGCGGCATCTGGCGACACGACCGAGAAAGACGCGAAATACCGTCTACCAGATACTCCAACGTGAAGACTTGTTCTGATGCGCCACGTTATAAAACCTTATAGTTATACACATGCCTAATTTAACAAGTAAAACTGAAATAAAAGACACTTTCGCCACCGTTCTCGACACAACAAATGCCGGGTCATACAGCAGTTTACACACTTTCAATATGGTGACCATAAACATCATATCGGTGGGCAGATTAGGTTTCCTTTCTGGATAGTATCTATTCTGTGGCAGTACGATACTGGTATATTGGTAATTGTAGAGAGTGTCGAAGTTCGAAGATCACTTTCAGTGATCTTCGAAAAAATACTTTTAGATATAGGTTAGTTGCAACCATGATCCTTTATAAAATACATTAAAATAATTCCTTACCTTTGCCAATTTATTCATATACTGCGTGACAATGAGGCTCGCACATTTGTATACTTGAGCACAATCCGCATATGCTGAAACAGATAAGGCATTGGTTTTTAAAATAGTCTTGAGTCTACCTTCAAAACCTTTACAGTGTTACCTGTTAGTATACAGAATGTATTCTTCGCATATTTAAACCTCTGGTGGGAAGTGTTTGAAAAAATATAACTCTGTGCTTGAAGGAAGATTACCTTTTTTACCCTTATCCTGAAAGGAGTAGAGTAAACTATCTACATTTAATATTTCCATAACGGTGGTTACTGCCCATGTGTTCGAAGATATCAAACGTCTCCCTGAAGTAAATTAATTTCTCAAATTCAATCTCGAGTCCTTCCGACCTACCTTTCATTTTCCGAGGTTATTTACAAGAAAAAAAGTTGAACGAAATATGACGTTATATTTGTCAACGTGTGCCTTTTGCACAAACGCTTGACATAAACGCATTGCACTATTCAACAAAAATTCAACCAAATTTTGGAGAAAATTTTATAAAATTTTGGAAATGTCCGGAAATACCTCCCAAAATTAAAATATGGGTTTTCAAATTTCAGGGACCGTGACATCAGCCATAACGAAGAATATTAATTTTGAAAAAAAAAAAATCGGCTGAACTTTATGCACTAGCGTTGTGCACTGACAGACGGACGGATATTTGCCGTCAATCGATTTTTCGATATGGAGGACGCACAAAACATGGATTCTGGATACACCACGTATTAGAGGCTTGCGTTTTCACTATTTAGCAACTGGATTTATCCACTCTTCCGTAACCAAGCCCAGAAATAAGAAAAATGTCGAAAATGTGCGGTTTTCCGGCGCGCGATTACAATACTTCCTCTTCTTACTTCAGCAAGTGCGAGAAAGTAAGAACGACTTCAGCGGCACTCACCTTCCTTGCGATCGGGGTCGTCGTGGGGCAGTACGGGGCGGCCGGCCTCGTGCCAGTAGATGCGGGACACGCCGAAGGGCCCGCAGTAGGTCTCCTGGCAGCCGAAGTCCCGGTCGCACCCTGTCGACGCCTCGCACAGGCAGCGGAGGCACGCGCGGTGCAGCGCTGGCAGCTTGAACTCTTCCCAGCGCCCCCCGCGTTATAGACAGTGCGCCCCAACTGCGTTCCCACACATTGCGTTATACAAATATAAGTCCAGTTCCGCCTCGAGAACGGGTGTGTGTGTGTGTTTTATTTTTTATTATTTTTTTAACGACGGAGAAATGCATTTACGCCCCATCGACCCAGACACTCATGTCCGGGCCGATTCGTGTGGATAATCTATACCCCACTTACGGAACCGCCGTCAGGCATTACTTCGCTAGGTGGGGTGGCGGGGCTATTCTAGCCCTCCTCCTTTACGCCTTTTCGTGTGTGTGTGTGTGTGTGTGTGTGTGAGTCTATTTAAGAGATTGTCCATTTCATTCATTATCATCATTTCACCTCATCCCAAGGGGTAACAACCCTGGGTGTAAAATTTATTCGGCATGAAAATGCTGATCCCTATGAAAGTCACGTGCACCTACCCTCGATAAATATGACTACAGGTTGCACCTTCGTGTGGTCCGAGATGGGCAGTTCGCAACAAAAATTAAATAATAATAATAATAATAATAATAATAATAATAATAATAAAAATAATAATAATACTTTTAAAGAAGCTGAAGAAAACCAACATTGTCATCTATTAGGCAGTCGTCAACAATCTAGAATCGGTATTCGTAAGTATGTGTCTGCTCAGCTACATCATAAATGGAGATTCAAAATATCGGCTTACCAGCGATAATCACAGGCTTACGAGTCACTTGCTGGAGAGATAGTTTTCGTCCGCAATCGGCTTACAAGTCGCTGCGGAAAGGAGGCTAGAATCAAGGAACTCCACTCGTCAAAAGGCAGTGGAATTATTGGAGGGTTTAGAGCGTCAGATAATCACGAAACGTTAATCTGAAGAAGTGCTCAATGAGGATAATAACGATCATTTTGACACGAGATTCAGGTGGTTCTAACACGTCCACGTGTAGTAAAAAATGCTACATGTATCTACTTGCCTGACGAAAATAATGCGACCTAAAATGTCTACATTTTCAGACTGATGCATCATTGTATCGCACTCTCATAATGTCAACTGCAAAAATATCACTTTTAGAAGAGACCGTAGTTTGAGAGAGACAAAGTAATATCATTCTAAGATTTATCTTAAGCCAGTCAGACAATAATTAGAGCTAGGATAATTGCGTAAATTTCGTCTTTATTGAAAGCCTGAATTACAAATATATTTCTTGTTCATTACTTGTTTAACCAATAAAATGAATTTTGTAATACCGTTCACTTGCATTGAAGTAATTTATGACCAGAAGTCTTTAAGCCTTCGAACTCTAGGGAGCCAAAACCAGTTTGCAGACGGTCCGTTACGATTATATAGAACGAAATGCAAAGCCTGTTCAGTCGTTTATGTTCTTCATTTCACTATTTCAAACACCACTACCACCAACTACAACTACAACTACAATAATAATAATAAAATAATATAATAATAATAAATAATAATAATAATAATAAATAATAATAATAATAAATAATAATAATAAATAATAATAAATAATAATAATAAATAATAATAATAAATAATAATAAATAATAATAATAATAATAATAAATAATAATAATAATAAATAATAATAATAATAATAAAATATTATTATTATTATTATTATTATTATTATTAATAATAATAATAATAAAAGCCGATCCAGGTAGCCGATCTTGCTAAGGCAGTAGTGACGCGGCAGTCTTGGACAGAGATTGCGATTCCAGTGCTGCCTCGGATATGGATGCGTTTCTGTGTTTGTAATTTTCCATTTCACCCTTCATCTTCATTACCATTTGACCTCAACTCCCAGGAATAACAACCCTGGTTGTAAAAACGGTTTCATAATGAAAATGCCGATCCCTCCTCCCCATAAAGGGCACTAGCAACTGCCCTCGACAAATATGACAGATCCCAGGTGGGTTGCAAGCTTGCGTGGTCCGGGAGTGGCCAATTCTTAACAAAAACATAAAATAAAAACTTATTGTCATCTTTTTTAACACAGGGGTTCACCGAAAGATCTACCCTTTTACCCGAACATTTAAACATCAATTATTACAACAAAAAAATCGCCACGTCAATCATTAGTAAGCGAAAAATACAAGGAAAGATTTAACGTGGCATATTCTTCAATACGCAAATTTATTTCAATAGAGTTTGAAATTTTTATGCTCACATGCAAAGAACGTTCAGCAATCTTTCAGTAATTCATCGAATCAACTCGTTTTTAATATACAGTAAAAATACAATATTCCATTTTCAATTTTCTCAGTCGAAATAGTCTTATGGTATAAAAACTTTCATCGCATTTTTTTTAAACTTAATAGTAATTTATAAAATAATAAAACAGGAACAGAATTTTATTAATCTAACTTGGCAGAACTGCAATGCTTGGTCCTCCTGGTTATGGTCAATAAGCTAATTACTTGAAAGTCCCGTAGCAACGTAATGACCACAGTCACGCTATCTTCTCAGCCTGAAGACGTCACTATTTTTTGCTCATCATCCGTTTTTCGTCACTAATTAGGCCTCTTTCGGAATGACGTTCTTTCAGCCAACAATGATCTGCCGTTTTCCTCGCTTGCTTTACAACAGAATGCTGTGAATTTGCGCATTTTTATAAAATCGTCAAAAACAGACTTGATAAATTAACTCTCAGAATTGTCTATTATTAATATTAAGCACTAAAGAATCGTGTTGATAGTAGAAATACAAGACGTGCATAACAGTATCAAAAATACACATTAACTAAGAAATATATAGTTCTGCATAAATATTACTTTTTCTTCTGTTTAGAAACACCAGAAAAGCCAATTCAGATGGCCCATATCGTTAAGGCAGTAGAGCCGTAGCGATCGCAGGCCGAAGGATCGCGGGTTCGAGTCCCGCCTCGGGCATGGTTGTATTGTGATCGTCCTTTCGCCCCTATCATCATATCGTGTCATCCACGCAGTTACCACACAGGTACACGCAATAGTGGTCGCTAATGACCTAGAAGTTGATGCGACCTTAAATAACAAAAAAAGTGCAAATCACCAGGTTGTCGCGACCGCTTCAATGGCTCGCAGCGGTTATCACAAAGTAGGAATGGCGGTTATTACAAAAATTACCGGTTTTAGACTTTTCGTTTTTTTTATTTTCACTTTAAGTTGATATCAAAACACGCACATAATAACAGATTATCGAAATCATATTGTTCGAATATATCGAAATCAAAAGCAGCAACTGCATACTTTTAGACAATGTTTTACATTTTGTGGCAAAACGGGAAAAAAATTGACTAACAAATTGCAAAAAGACTAAAAGGATGCTAAACTATACAATCAAGTCAACACCAGATATTTAATACCTAGAGGAAAACAACTTTAAGCATATGCCACAACGGTAGCAATCAATCCAATATTTGTCAGTCTACTCCTGAATATCCTTTGCGCGTTTATAAATTAAGCAAATAAATTAAGAAACTCCTTCAACATGTAGAAATCGTTGCTACAAAGCACGAAAAATAGGAAAAGAAACGACAAGATCTCTAATTTAACTACTTTGAAAAGAAAACAGACCGCCGCTGGTAATTGATTTTTAGCCTTTTATCACCAGGTCGAATCATAAGCGACAAAAACCAGAAACGTATTTTCGGTAAAAGCAGATATGCTATTCCCACATATATGTTATTCCCATACATAAATGGGTGAAAACCAGAACGGTATAAGTGACATTTTATAAATTCTTAGAAATATGTTTAAGTCAATATTACTTGTAAAGTCATAGTGCTTTGTTTCGTCAGTAAAACGAAGACATTTAAAATGTTCATTGAAACCACGAAAATACATTGCCACTGAAATATAGCCTACAATAAAAAGTTTTTTTCAGAATTTATAAAATGTCACTTGAATGGGAGAAAACGAAAACTGTATTTGTTATTCCCAAATATATATGCTATTCCCATACCGATATGTCACGCCCATGTACATCCTACCGCAAAGCCGCAACCCAACTCACGGTCTTCCCCCGCCGCTGCAGCCACGACCGCCGCGAGTATCAGCGCGGAGAACAGCGCCCGCCTCGCCAGCACGTCCGCGCGCGCTGAGGTTGCCATCCCGCCTCCGACTGGCCGGGGACGCTGGCACGCAGCCGCGCCCCGAGAGAACCGTGACCTTGCGGCGCGACCGGTTCCGGCTCCTCGTTCCTTTCATTCCCGCGAATCTCGAGGTTCGGTTCTTCCCTGAGATGGGAGTCAGCTTGCTCTTACGAACACGGGATTTTTAACATGGGTTGGGCAGAATTTAGGAAATTGATTCAACGCCGCTCGCGCAATTTAATTCTAATAATATTGATAATTAATCAATGTACTCTTATGCAAATTAAATCAATTAAAGAAATATATTTTTTAAATTCAATTGTTTAAAAATATGTGAAGCAATAATATTGATAATTTTCAAGAACTATTTCTTTTTGTCCGTCTCTTGATCTCCTAACTTATATTGCAAATTTTTTACTTTCTCTTTTATGAAGTACAGATAAAGTAATGTAATGCTGCGAAATATCGATGTCGTGGTTTTGATAGAAAGCACAATCTGAAGCTCCATGTTTCAGTACAAGTGTGTTGTTTTGTTTCCAAAACATATGAGTGGCCGACTGGGTGGATGTTCTCATTGTAAACAGCACTGCGGCCAAAACCGTTCATAGAATTTTCTTCAAAATGGACATTTAGGCCAGATCGATTTAGCCACACTCAATGCCCTAAGAATTTAATTTTTGTGTGTACTTTACTGGAAGCCCTTTTCAAATTTTTATTTAAACTAATGGTGCTACAACAGCACATATTTTCTCGCGTTATTGGAAACAGCTACGTAATATTGAAATATTGCATTCCTGCGCTTCTAACACCTCAGCTTTTATTATCAAACAGGCAATTATAAAAAATGCAAGCATTTGGAGCGGATTTGAGAATAATGTTTTGTAAATTTGAATCGCAAAATACGCCAAAACTACTTGTTTTTTTATTGTATACGACTTTTTTAAAGAGTTAATTTTTGTAAACAGATATTGTATGACCCTAAAATCTCTATCTTCAATTTTGATTTTTGATTTTTGTTTCAATTTCCGAAAAACCGCGTATGTCAACAAAAATGAGACCAGCGCCATTCTTTTAAACGTTCTTTGCACCCCAACAAAATTTAATAAAAATCGTTAACCATTTTTTTAAAAAAATTGAAAATGGGCTTCATGTAAAGTGCCCCCAAAATTAAAATATCGGATTCAAATTCCAAGGGCCACGACATCACGCAGAGCGATTGGGGAATATCAATTTTGGAAAAAAACGGCAGAACGGTGCATGCGCTACCGTTGTGCACAGACGGACAGACAGACGAACAGTCAGATAGACTTTTGCCATCAATTGATTTGGACAAGATCGGGCGGCAACGCAATTCCACGCGGGATACAGAGCTGTCGTCAGTTGCATCCAATTCCGTAAATTAAGAAATTTGCGTTGTTCTTCATTTAAATACGAAAAATGTGCCTTGCTTCTTCGTCAATACTTAGGATTTTTGTGCATTTGCATATTTCGTCTGCTTAGACTCCTAGACTTCTGGTTTTCTTTCCAAATGAGAGTCCCCAGATGCTTTCCGAAGTTTTATTTTGCATATTTGTGTGTATTTGAGCTATGTTGCATAAAATTGCATATTTCAAGGTTATTCTAGATTATATTACATATTTTATGATCAATAATGCATAAAATTACAAATTTCAAGGATGATATATTATTTCCCTCTTTTGGATTGATGTGTGTGTAAAACTTTGAATAGTGAATATTAAGTTACTCACATGATGACTTCTCCTGAATCAATTTCTTTTTTTTATCCTCTTGATACCGTATATCCTGTGTTGCACAGCAACGATTCGCAGGATTGAGTAACCTAACATAAACGCGAAAGAGAAGCCCTCTCAAGACATATTCTTCAAAATTGGATTTTGGAGAATCAGTCGCTAATGATCTGTTACTCTGCCACATCTCTTTCTCGTTTTGCCTGGAGGTTGCGATCATTTGCAATCTGGTTGTTCGCCATCACAAAACGAAGTTCGCGTGAGAAATGCCTAAAAGCTTGTCATCGCGTAGCTCCAAATTAATTTACATAATTTCACTCATTTTAAATGCATATTTTTGTATGTTTTACGATTTAAATGCATATTTTTGCGGGGTCAACGCCCCTTTAATATAAAAATAGATTGAGTTTAGATTTAAGGATTTTTTAAATAGTAAATTCAAAATACCCAAATTTATTTTACTACTTTATGAATGGTACGGCCTGATATCATGCCGAGATCCGAGACTAGCGAGATCAACGCAATACGGGGTGTTGTGTGGATAGCCCTAGTTATGAACATATGGCCCGCAACCATATTAAAGGTTTTAGTTGTTGCCATTCACGTTGGACACCCCTGGTATAGTGTAAGTATATGGGTATGTACAAACTACGTACGTTGTCTCGAGCAAAATTATAATTTAACTACAAGGGGGAAGGATTCTGGATCACAAGACATCGTGCGTAGATTGTGCATCCCTACTTACACCATATAGTTTTTACTGTCTTTTCAACGGAAAATAAATGAAAATTCAAAAATTCATTTAAAAAAATAAATAAATTAAAGGAACAAAATATCGAGAAACGTATTAAGTTTATCTAACAGTTCACTCAACGGTTGCAATTAATCTGAATCAAAAACAAAAAATGTTGTCTTGGTATATTTTCCATTAACTTCCTTTAAAATTTCATAATGCAAGTATCGTCTATATCTGTAATGGATGTATCCGCTACTTTTTATCTAGTCGTCTCTTTTGTTTGTAATCGTATTCGTTCGTCACATACTATCATCACTTTCGTTCTTATCGTCCGCAGATTGTACAGCTCTGTGCACTTACCAGCCTTAAGACGATACCGTTCACTTCGCTTGTTGAAAGTTTCAGTGTTATCATCTAATGTTCGACGAAATTGTGTCATGCATTCGCCGTTCTCCAATCCCACAAAAAAACACTCTTCACATATCGGTTTTTGTGATCTCAATGTGAACTAAAACGCTGAAATACGTAGAAGACTAACAGGTCAATGGATGCACAATGTTTTACCTCAACGAAGTGTTTACCATTGGTTTCAACATTTCAAAAACGGACAAACAAGCTTGTGGGTCGAGGAAAAAACGTAATGTTCAGCCTCAACCATTAACAATCTCAACATTGAGCAAGCTCGTGATCGTTAATAATCGATGAGTGACTCTCGATGGAAAAGCAAACCATTTGCACGTTAGTCAGGTTCTGCATATGAGAACGCCAAGATGGATTACCGAAACGTGGTCTTTTGTTGCATGGCAACTCGCGTCCAGACCCGACTTCCCACAGTGTTAAAGTACTCCAAAAGCTGGTTCTCGAGGGGGCAAAGCTTCCCGAAAAACACTTCTAATTCTATTACGTCTGATTAGCACCAATGGACAACTTAAAAATGATTGAAGAGACCAAGAGAAAAAAAGAAGTGCATACCTGGCTAGCTGTTCAACCAAATATCCTATTTTCCTGAGGGTTTCGGGAAGCTTGGGTAGTGATGGACCAAGTGTACAATAGGAGGATGCATTAAAGAGGAGGGTGCCTATGATGAGTACCATTGCTGTTGTTCCAATACATTATGGCAAATTATTGCTGATATTTAGTGTTGTATTCTCGTAAATATAGTATAGACTCCTATTTTCCACCAGTCCCCTGAATCTGTTATCCCAATATTATCCGGTATTCTCCTCCTTAAATTTAAAGGGATTTGGTATAAATAATAAAAACATTTATTTTAATTAAAAACATGAACATGTTTTATTTATTAAAAAGCACACCATATTACTCGTAGTTCTATATTTGACCATAATGTCATAACAGTGAGGTGAAATGGTAATCACTTTGTCCAATCCGTAATAATTGGCATATCTGGCAATATGGATATTACATCGACTATTCCACTCATGAAATTAAAACCAATAGTGTTTAATTACACATAGAAAATCATTCCCAATCAAGGTGATGTATTTCAAAAAGTTTATAGCTTTTCGATCCATTTTTCCTTACCGCTTCTTCTTACTACTCAATCACAAACTGTAAACTGTACCTTTAGGAGGCGGTATACATCGATCGCTATGTTGATGAATGTTCTATGTACTTCTTCTTACTTCGTATGAAGTAATCGCATTCCCTTTGTATAACCTTTGATTTTAACATAGATTTCAGTTATTTTCAATGTTTGACGCATTTTGGAACTGTTGGACACAATTTCATTTGTTGAATAGTTCTATTAAATACCATTAAATCGACAATTTCCAAAGCACACGTGGTATTTCCTATGATAAATGCTCTTACAAATAAAATTTTAGAAGAAAGCCACTCTTTCTCCATCTATTAATCGTCCTGTGACATCCAGGTGACATCAATGCGCAATCTTCTACCTTCCATTCGAATAGTTCTCATCAAGTTTGCACGCAAATGTGCCCTGCAAATTTCTTGACGTGACTAGCCATCTCCCTGCGTTTTTAGGTATATTATCTACTCTTTTATTTCTCAACGTTTAATGTTTTTTTATATTTTTTTAGAAATTGGTAAATCTGTCTACCAATTTGAAACATTTCTATAGATAGAAGTAGGCGGTGGATGTATATTTTAAATTCACGTCTTAAAAAATAAAATAGAATACGCATTTCTATAACAGCCTTATGTATTATATCAAGATTAACAATCATCTTTGTAACTATTGCAGCTTTATCGATTTTCCATCGACTTATTTCAATACGAAAAACAGCATAAGAAAGTATAATTCATCTTTGTACATATTATATAATATGTATTTTATGTTATTACATATTATGTGAAATTTCGTATCTGCTGATAACACAATCAGCAGATAGTCACAGAAATAATTATGAAAAACTACACAAGTAATACGTGGACTGTTCATCTTGCTGCTATTATCGATTCGAGGTGTGTGTTTTGAGATGTCGACTCTGCACATCACAATGGAACGTGCGGGGTTCAACTCTCCAACCCATGTGGAGACTAGAAGCTTTCACCAGAAGTATTGCGTT